CTGAATACCTCTGGGCTTGGGCCTGGGCCTATTTTTTGTGGCCCGTGGGCCAACCTAGCCCAAATTTTGATGGGAGCCCACAAGGCCTGACGGGTCGGGTCAGATTTACACCCCTAACTACAAGTGTATTTACTAGGGTGGCTGGCCCGTGTAAATGATTTGAGGGGATTTTTCAACTTTATTTTGTATGCAGATTGATATAAATTGAAGATATTTGTGTACAAAAGATTAAATAAGAATAAAGGTACAAATATATATATATATATAATGGTACTTGATTTGGGATCAAACTATAATTCTAATATAGTATGAGGGTCTGGCTCAATTTATGAATTTGAATTCCTAATTTAAGTGTAGAATTTAATTGAATCGGGGTTAGGGAAAACAATTCGATTTAGGTTTCTTGTTTTCGAATTTAAAAAATGATCGATTGAACGAACATTATGGGAACCGGAAATCTAGGATTTTTGAGCGATCAATTTATAATTAAGGAGTTAATTAACTAGTGCTAGGATATTAGAAGTGATTCCTAATTTACTATTAGGGTTCCCATGGTTCCGATCGGGATGCGTTCTCAATTCTAGGGTTAAAATTGCAAATAAATGAGGAATCGATGGTTTTCATTGAAATAATTCAATAATCAGGGTCTTAATGGAAATACGAAATCTAGGGGCCTCACAATTAGAGTTCGTACGAGTTCGCCTGCGATGCGTTTTCTATTCTACGGTTAAATATGCAATTAAACGAGAGATTAAGAGCTTTTATTGTAATAATTCAAAAGTGAAAGACTAAATATGGTTTACAAAAATTAGGGACCTCACATCAACCCAAACCCGCCCCTTTCTCTCTCTTTCTCTATCACTGTTCTTTCTCCACACCAAAACCGCAGCCCCAATCTCCACCTTATCCTCTTGTCCCACTGCCCCTAACCTCCACCTTGTCCCTCTACCACTGCCACCACCTCCACGTCCTCCTTTGTGTCTAAATAAATAAATAAATAATATAAAGAACACCACCACCTGCGATGGTACGATGACTTGGATCTGGAAGCATGATGGTGTGATGGATTTGGTAAACAATGCGACGACATGCTATCAGAACCCAAATCCATAGGTATGACCGACTGTGAGCTATAGGCTAAGGCCCATGGACCACAAAAGCCAAAATATCCAACATAAGCTACCAATTGAAATAGATAATCATATCATAGGGCTCAATCAAACATCAAATCAAATATCTTCATATGAGTTTATAATAATAGGACCTACAAGGCCCAAGCCCAAAATGTACAACTGAAATATCATAAACGAATAATAAAGTTCAAGCGGACTTTATGACAAATACACTTTTTATTTATTAGATAGGTTCCTAAGAGATCACTGGAATTAGGTCCATGATAAAACAAGTCCTCTTCTAATGTTCCAACTACTCACCTGAAATGTTAATGAATGGAATGAGCTCACAATCAGTGAATGGAAAACATACATAGTAAAATACAATTTTTAAACGGGGAATAAATTAATTGATATAGCGACATAGCATGGCATACAGTGATAAATATAAATAAAAAATAAAAAATAAAAAAAGGTTACATTTTTCCTCAATAATGATTTTTGAATCAACTGTAGCAAGAAAATAATGACTCGTCTCAATTTTTCAAAATAAAAGTAATTGTACCAAAAATCATTTGTCGATGTCAAATCAAGTCTCAACGATTTATATGGGAACCATAATCAATAACTGTAATTGCCAACATTATAACTCAGGGCAACCTTGGCTCTTAGATCCAATATCGCACGTTAGAGTCACCCTAGGATGGCGCCCGAGTCTTTCTCTATGTCGATCCGGATTAAGGTCATCTGATGCATCAAAAATGTTCCTTAAGTCGTTGAGCACTAGAGTTATCACAGTCCTGTCATAACAGCTGTGCCTTTTCTCTAGATGCTAGATTACCACAGTCCCATCACAACGGTTGGACTTTTCCATGTACTTTTAACAAATTTCCAATCCACAATCACAAAGTCTCATAATAAAAATATATAGCATTGGCCACTTTAATATCAAAACAATTTATTGTATGCTAGTTCAATACATAATCATAATTAAATATTATAACTTTTCTAAAATAATTTTTCAGGCTAATTGGAGAATTTTTATGAAAACAAGGAGCATGCTAAACCACTCACCTGATGTTAAAAAATACAAAGTTGAATGATTATTGATATCGTCAATCAAATATAAAATATAATTTCTATTAATATGCTAAACTAATGATTGAAGAAATTTAAATGCTAAAAATATGTAGCACAATCATCTATGATCGAAGTCGCGCAATTTGTCTTTTTCCCAAAGTACCATTATCAAGTCATTATTCCATCTCTTTTTAAGTTATCAATCAGATCATCAAATAATTAGATCTCAACCAATTAATTTACATATTTAAGTTCAGGGAATAACCTATTAAAATTTCATGGCAATCGGTTGAGGTTTCTCTGTTGATCGTCTCAGATAGTCATATAAATCAACCCATTTCATGATCAGAATCAAGGTAAAATAACCTCAAATATGAATTTCACACGTCGAAAAATCCTAGGATTTTCATTTTTTCGAGGTCAAAGTCTTACCCAATTGAGTTCAGGCCACTAGGGTATAACATAAACTTATAGATGTGAGCACATAGAATAGTTTCTTATGTCTTGCTTTTATAAATGTCTATGTAATTATTTTTTGACAGAAGTTAGTCTTAGGAATAATTTGAAAAAATTTAAAATATAAAGAGTCAAAGTAAAAAAATAGAAAAAATAAAAAAAATAAAAATTTAAGAGTCAAAGTGAGAAAGTGATAAAAGATAAGGGAGGCAAAGCGTAATTTATCCACAAATAAACCTTTACGTGGAGAGGAGAAAATCATCATGAAAGAAGAAAACTTCTACATAAAGAGATATTATTATAAAAAATAAAAAATAAAATAAAATGAAAAATTACCACTAAACAAACAAAACCAATCACTTTCACGATCCCTTCATCGTTACAACCAATAACTTTGGTATCTTAATCCCGGCCTCTTCATTACAAAATAAAACATTCTGAATCTGAGTAGTCACATAGCATATAATAACGCATTTAACAGTATCGGATCTCGATTATGAATCAGATCTAAGTCTAAATCTGAAAGCTTCCTCGATGACAAGTCAATGATAGAGACAAGAAGAACGGTAGTGGCTAGCACGGTGATAAAAATCGCTGGAGAATAAATGGAAGGGAGAGGAAGATTAAAAACATGCTGATTCTTGGCCCTTTTAAATGCATCTAATCTTGATCCAAAAAAAAAAAATTGACTAAATTTGAAAAAAAAAAAAATAGTAAAGATAAACGAAAACTCATTAGGTTTTAACTTTGTAACAAAATAATTCTTGAGATTTTTGTCAATTTAAAACTTAATCTTTTGATTTATTTTTAATATAAACTATATGCCTATTTTTGTTAGGCAAAACTAGCGTAAAATGAGTAGTTTAATTATTAAACTCAGTGTAAGCATACATCAAATATCTAAAATATCTATTTAATTAAATTTAATGACTAAAATATTGATTTTTCCATTGACTTTACTTAACAAAAATAGGTCAAATGTTTTAGATGGAAAACAAATTCAAAATTTAGGATTTAAATTGATAAATTAAAAATTAAAGATTTATTTTATTATAAGACTCAATTTTTGAGATTTTTTTTGTAATTTTTTTTTTTTTTTTATATTGGGTAGGGTGATCTCTACCTGGTAATTAGTTTTTCAACTTCCATTATATAGTAACATTTCATATTCTTTTTCTTTTTTCACTTTTAAATTCTTATCAAAATTCATGATCAAACTACATCCTAAATATCTCGATGACATATAAGCTTTGGAATGAAAAAATGGTACCCAAAAAAAAAAAATTATCCAAAGTATCACTTGGATATCTTAAAACTATATGGTCAATCTTGACAAGGTTCTTATAAAAGAAAATCATTTAATGGAACCCATCTTGGTTTGCAAATTAGGTTTCAGCAATCATCTAATTAAAAAAATATATAAATAAAATAAAAATAAAAATAAAAATAAAAAAGAAAGAAAGAAAGAAAGAAAGAAAGAAAGAAAGGACAAAAGAGTTAAGTCTGATGCTTTCTGGTTTTTAGATTTTAACGGCACAAGAACCACATATTTGGGGAGTGGGGCAGGAAGAGTTTTGGCCTTGGGTTCAAGATTAAATGGGAGGTTTATTCATTTATATATCGGTATTGTTAGGGGTCAAGAGTTTGACCCCAAAAAAACATATAAGCAAAAATATATTGATTTGATTTTCAGAATTTTCTTTTGAAAAAAAAAAAACTTAAAATTTTGTTTGATAAAAAGAAATTAAAAAAAATAAAAAAAATACTTATTATATTTATATAATTTTGTGGGAAAATTAGTGAAACATCCATTTCCAACTTTGTATAGTTGGAGAGGTCCAAAATGTTTATTTATTTATTTTTATTAGCTAAAGTCTCTCAATATTTTCATAAAGAAAATTCGACTCAGAGAAATTTTGTCCGGCTGAGATAAATTTCAGCTCCGACTCAGAAAAATTTCAAAATTTCTTTGGTATGATCACAGAAAAGCTTTGAAATTTCTTCGTGAAATCAAAGAAATTTCTCTGTAAAAATTGAAATTTCTCTAAGTCGGACAAAATTTCTTTAAGTCAAATTTTTTCTGTAGAAATGTTGAGGGATCTTAACTATTATGAAAAATATTGTATGTCTTTTATCTTATAAAATCTTAATATTAGGGGCCTTAAAAAAAATTTCCCTAATTTTATCTTTTGAAAAGACTAAAATAAATTTTAATAATTAAAAAATATTTTTTGATATTAATTTTATCAAATAAGTTTCTTTTTCTTCAAAAAAAAAATTATAATTTTTTTTTTTTCTCACAAACAAACCAAACAAGGCCATTGTGGTCCAAATTTATTTCAAGTATGGGCCCTATTATATTACATCACACACTATTTTTCTTTGTTAATAATTTTCTGATTGAATTCTTGGTTCCTAGAGAGGGGATACATGGGATACCATTAAGAGAAATATGTGGGTGTCATTAAACTCATTATCCACTACAACCATCTTCTTCATTTTCTAACATAGTGCTTAAATCTGTGTATTACAGTACAAGATAAAAAGAGAAATGGCTAAGACTTTTATTTGCTTCAACAACTGGATGACTTTGCCTGCAGCAGCTGCATATGCATATGCATTACCAATTCGCGTTCATCCGAATGTGCATAAAAGTGATATTAATCAGCAACAACATCAACATAGAGGCCGCCCGAGTTCTACTACTAGTACTACTTTTACCACATGTGCAACCAAATCTGGTGGCTTCTTTGTCAACTCAGTATGCTCTTTTTGCCTTGTAGCTTTACACAAATATATCAATTTGACTTGTATAGATTGGCATATCATAAGAACCGCAATGATATATCATAGCTGAAACCAGTCGATTCAAATTTTACGAAGATTGCTTTCTTAATAATGGCATAATTAGTCTAAATAAAATACATGAAAGGATTTTAAAAAAAATTGTGCTTTTTCCTAGAGGCAGTGGAGTAGGGATAATAAAGAATTTTTTTTTTTTTTTAAATTTAGAAAATATAAGAATGAAAATGTAGCAGAATTGTCTTTTTCATCAACATCCCATATAAATCTTGTGTCTCCCTTTGTCCTTAATTGTTTTTCTTTTATCTTATACTAATTAGTAATACTGCATATTTGGTAATGTTCATATCATGGCCTTGTTTGGTGGTGGTGTGTAGATCATAAAAAGGTGCCAAACATGTGGAGGCCAAGGTGCGGTTGAGTGTTCTGGATGCAAGGTTGTCATATATAACTCTTTATTTATCTCATTTTCAAATTCACAGTATATAAAACTTAAATTCAAATTCACAATAACATGTTTGATATCCATTTACTCAGGGTACAGGAAAGAATAAAAAGAATGGGAACATCTTTGAGCGTTGGAAGTAAGTCTTTCTCTTATTTTACGATGAAATAGAAAATATATCAGATTTTTCCTTCTAATTAATTTGTATATTTTAATACATCTATGAATTTTTTTAGATGCTTTGATTGCCAAGGATTTGGGTTAAAGAGTTGTCCCAGCTGCGGAAAAGGCGGGTTAACACCAGAGCAAAGAGGAGAGAGATAATGTGTATGTCTTGCTTATGTATATACAATAAATAGCTTTCGTGCACAACTCTGTAACTTATAAATTTCAAAATATTAACTGAACACATGTTTACAAAGAGTTGAGAAGTTCATGCCTTGTAGCATAATTTGTATCTGTTATTGGATATCCCTTATAATAAGCAATTATATTTAGAGTATTGCTACTTAGGCTCAAAAGTTAAACTCACTCTTTAGATTCAGTAATGTGTCAAGAAGATAATTGGTTGATAATTAAATATTCTCTAATTATCAACCAATAGAAATTGTGTCTAAAAAGTGAGCCTGTATATCATTTTCCATTATATTTATATAGTTAGATTTGTTGAATTGGCTACAGATTCTGGAGGTCACCCCATGTGAAAGGGGTGATCCTCATGTCAACAATGGAAGGCCACCAACCTCATGTCAACAATGGAATGCCACCAACCATGTCAAAAGTCAAAGAATGAGGGCTCTCCCACCTACTCCTTTGTGTATAAATAGAGACGGGAGGGAGAGGATATAGATATCAGATGTGGAGCTGAGAGGTGTGAGTTGAGAGCAAAGAGAGAGAGAATTACAGAGAGTGTTGTAATTCACCATTTTGTTCAATATAGTGAATTCGCTGCCCGTGGACGTAGGCGACTTGCCGAACCACGTTAAAACTTGTGTGTTATTGCTTGTTTGAGTTCCCTGGTGTGCCCCCGATCCTCAACAAGATTTGCATCTTTTAATCTAAATTTTGGTTGCAAATAGCTGAATGGTTGGAGGTAGACAATTTTTATGCCTACAGGGGACACTACAAGAAATTTGTGATTTGGAGACCAAAAAAGTCATCAGTAAAACCAAAAAAATGGCGGGAAGAAACTATGTCATCTCTAATTTAAGCCACTAAATCATCATTGTCCCGATTCTTTAAAACATTTTTGTATATGGAAGTTGAGATATAATGCTCTCGTGTTTGTTTGTTTTTGTTTTAAAATTACTTCTTGTTTCCTATTTGATGTTCGTATAAAATTTTACTTGTCCTAATCTTAGAATGCACTTTGTACTCTCATCAGTCGGACAGGCAAAGTGGAAAACAAAGAATCCAGAGAAGCATTACACCTACTCTTTCTTCTTTTAGAAACTTCATTTATCTGTATCAGTTTAGGGTTTGGTTGGTTGGTCTGTTTGTCTGGCATTGAGCAGTGTTTATTTTTTTTGATCAGCTAAAGAAATAGCTTTATTGATAAGACTACGAAGATATTACATCAATAAAGGAAAAGATGAGTACAAAGAATATCATAGCGGAACATCTCAATCCCAACTAGGTTGGCACCAGGACATCCACTCAATGCTAGCACACTATCAAAAGTTGGTGAGAGACCAACAATGAAGAAACATCCAGGACCAAACAAAATGCACAAGAAAAACTCCCACTAGCCATGCCCCACAAAATACACCAGAAGATAAACCCAAGAGCCACCTAAATAAGCACACGAGCAAAACAAGAGGCAACAGACACAAGGACAAAACAGAGCACCAACAAGTCACCAAACCAGGGCACCAGTAAGGCAATCCTCCAGAACAACCACCACCAAACAAACAACCCAGAAGTAGAACCCACAAGACAGTGAGCTAGAGCAAACTCTAATCAAATCCCATAACTGCTGTGATACCCTTATGAACTCCAATGTGCAACCCTCCTATAAACACCTCGATATACCTGATGGGAAGCTCTGTAGATGGTTTAAAGAAAAACCTCTACATTCCCATTTCATTGAGCAGTGTTTATACCAGCAAAAGTTTGCTTGGACTGACTCAACTCTATCCATACAGCGAAAGGAAAATACAACATTTTGCAAATGGGCAATTTTAACAACATGAGCAAGGACTGATTATATTATGCAATCCACACCATACCCATCCACCAACCTTTGGAGATGAGAGATGGGATGGCAACAGGTTAATCTTGAAATGAGTGGCCAAAATGTCTACTCTTAGGCTATGTTTGGATAGTGGATTTGATGGGGGCAATGGAAAGGGAAAATGAAATAGAAAAGAAAAGGAAAAAGAATTGACAGAATTCGAATTCCAAACTATGTTTGGTGGAGTTGAGAAATGGTGAAGGAAAAGAAATCATCTTTCTCTCCCTTCTCTTGGCATTTCTCACTACCATTCTTGGTTGAGAGCAGTTCCATTTTACTTTTTACATTTTTTTTTTCTTTTTGCTGAATTTGCTGGAGTTTTTTTCTTCTTATGCAATTGATATTTGTTGTCAAATATTTCTGACGGCAAGATCATCACCACTTTCCAAGTTTGTTTTCTAACAGATTAATTAGAGACATAAGGGAAATGAGGTTATGGACGATCACTATTATTTGTTATTTCATTTCTCACTTTCTTTTCCCCTCTATTTTCCAATATAACTAAACAAAAAGTGCAATTTTGTTTCCTTCTTCATTTCCATTTCCCTTATCAAATCTACCATCCAAACACTACCTTAAACAGTCACTAATTTGGAATTGGAACTCATGAAACCATGAATGGATATAAAAGATGCATAGACATCTATATATATTTGTTGCACAGAGGCACAACTATTTTTTATTACAAAAGAGAGACTACACTTGGTAATTTTGTACACATGTATGTTTTGTTTTGAACTAAGATTATTGTAACAAACAGTGTTTTAGAGAACACAAAAACTGATGGCAAAACACACCACTATGAAGAGACAAACTGCACTTGATTGTAGTCTCATTATTATATAATATTATTTATATATATATAAGGAGGGTGCAATGTTGTAGCATTAGCAGGTTTCAGAGGTTCCATCATTGAAGTAAATGGTGCAACCCATCCCTGCCAAGCAACAGTTGCATGCCGGACTGAGCCTCTGACTGCCTGATGACTCGCATATCATGTAGTCTGCTCTGAAACAAAACAGAGGGCAAGCTTCGGCAGTGTTGTACTCCAATAAAAACATGCCTGTCAGCATCCAAAACACCCAAAACATTTTTTTTTTTTTTTTGTAAAAACAGAACAGTATTGTTACAGAGCGATATATCGTGATTCGTGCGAAAAGAACAGGATGTGACAACGAAAGCATGATATTAGCAGCAGATGTTGTGTACTAAACTAATTAGCTGTGATTTTTGCATAACATGCTCGTAGTTTTTTTTTATCAGCAAAGTGAAAATTTTATTAAAATCATGCACATAGTTAATCACAATACTATCTTAAAAAGTTTATCGGAAGAAAGAGAAACTACAAATCTGTAAGCCATGAAAATAGAACAAATGGAGAGGAGGAGGATAGCATACATACCACACACAAGGAGTAAAACTAAGACACTAGCTCTGTTTGCTTCCATGCTTTCTTACCTCTGTTTGGACATTGGAGGGGGTTGGCCTGGAGTCATTTATAAGGTGAGGGATTTGCTGAAACGCTTAGGATTGTTTGTTTGGTTGTGTCTTCACAAACTAAACAATCAAAAGTCTGAAAACACACAACGTTTTTTATTATTTTCACAGCTCTCTAAAAAGGATAAATTATACTTTGTTCCTTTAGATTTGACTAACTTTTTACTTTCACATTTTTTTTTTTTTTACTTTGGCCCTTTATATTTTAAATTTTTGTCAGTTTATTCTCAAAGTTAATTTATATTCAAAATTAGACAAAAAAAAATGCATAATAATTATATATATATATATATATACACATTGGAGTTTAAGTTTATATTAGAGATGTGAGTTGTGGGAACCCGAATATAGAAAAAAAAATTAAGTAAATAATTAAATAGTAATAATAATAATTTTACAATTTCAAATATTTTGATAGTAAATCCTAAAGTACAAATTAAATATTTGGGGGATCTTTAATTAATTTTTAAACTATAAATAAATTTTTAGGGAAGTCCACAATTTTTAAGACTATTGATAATAATCTTAATGATAGTAACAACAACAATAATAATAATAATAATAAACTAGTTAGTAAGGGGTCATTTTGAAAATTTATTATAGGTGGATAAAACCCTAATGGTGAGCTATCAATCCTTTTCTTAACTACCCTAGTATCAGCCGTGAGATATAGAGAAACGGGAGAGGGAAAGAGAGAAAGAGACGGCTTGTTTCAGTTTTGTGGTGTCTATTAGCATGGTAATCTTCCTCACTATCTTCCTTTTTGTTCTTATTTTATTTATTTGATTCCTTGTGCCGTTGTGAGGGTTGTGTGGCTGGTCTGTTTTTGGATTATTTTATATAGATATACCTACATACAAACTTATACTAATGTAGCAATAGAGTTAATTGGGTAGTCAAATATATTACATGTGCATCTCGGTTAAGAGTGGTGCATCTGTGGCAAAGAAATTGTTGGGCATGCCGGTGTGTGTTTTATTATTTCTTTATATTTAATTGGTGGTTTGGTTATGCGGTGGAGGAGTAAAAGAGGGAGGTATTTGTATTTAATAATGGATTTTCTTGTGTAAATGGGTTGCTGGGAAGTTTTGTGTTGCAATGGTGGATGGAAATTCTTGATCCTAAAAACATAAACTTTAAATTTTGAGGAATCATATCAAACCGAGGAATTTTGAACTGAAATTTTTACAGTAGATTAATTACATATTGAATTGCATATCTGAATTTTTTTCATAATTTTTGGGAGTCAAAATCCATATAATCTAATGCATTCAAATGTGTACAGAAAACTGGTTTTAAACAGTAATTTCGGGAGTGTTGTTCTCTTTGGGTATAAATCCAAAAATTATCAAATCAGCATCATTAGAACCGGTTACGAGTCTAGTTTCGTACGTTTTTGGCCTTGCGTTGATTGCTCATGTATACTAAGAGAACCGTCAATTTCTTTAAAGTCTGCAGAAAACAATCTGTTTGGGCATAATTAATTATAAATAATTATTTTGATAGGCAAATCAAGTGAAACCAATTAGGTTTGAGACTTAGGATATATTAGTTGATAAATGGAGGGTTTTAGAATTTTTCGAACAACGTGGAGTGGGTTTTTAATTTTCAGAGTTAGCAAATAGATTGGAAAAACTCTATTTTATCTTAAAGTCACTTTTAGTTAAGTTTCGATCGGAACCCATGTCTGAGGTGATTTTTGACCTTGAAGAACATTAACTTAGGTATTATTTAAGAGTAGCGGTGAGTGGGGTTGAGTTGTGTTAGTGCACTTTAGTGTGG